CTGTTTGTCTCTACACATGTCTACACCACCTTGAAGAGGAGACAATGCAGATCCTTGTCAACTCATCACCTTGGAGCATTTGCCGAGCGTCGCCGAGAACGACCCCTGGAAGATGATGGAGCTTCAGACTGCGAGTCGAAGGTGGAACAACCAGCTGGTTGATGTGGACAGTTGATGTGGTGGGTAAAAACCAAGCAACAAAGAATGACAAACACATTTGTGTCTAGTAGTGAGTCCAAGAGCCCCTAGTAGTGAGTCCAAGAGCCCCTAGTAGAGTCCGATCGCTCCGTTCGTAGCGATGCCCTTTGTGCTGGACACACTGAGCTGCCAAGTACGATTCTTCAACAGGATAAAACGGAGGCTGATGCCCCATCTAGGAAGTAGCAGAGAGGATTTGTAGCATCGTTTGTTCAATCAAAGGTGAGGAAACCAAGAAGTTGAGACATCTTGTTTTGTTGTGATTGATAAAGAGAGACTTGGGAGCTCAGCAGAGACTTCCAAGACTAATCCCGGATTGGCCTGACAGTGTTGGGGTGGTCTGACTTGGATGAGTGAGCACCAAGGCATGTTTCAGTGCTTTGTCTATCACCAAAGGTTTCACTTACTGCCCTCTCCTGGTTCGAACCCTCATGGCGTACTCGTAACATGAGCCATCGCTAAGATCACCTTTCAATATCTTTCCTAGAATTCTAGAGTGCAGAGTTTCTGGTGAAGATCTTTGAAAACACCTGGCCAGGTCCAAGATGAACTTTGACATGTCGAATTGCGAGGGTCCGCCGTGCCTGGTCCCAGTTTCGACGCGGAGCGACGGGGAGCGACGCGGAGCGACGGGGAGCGACCGTTTTGGGTTTGGGTTCTCAGGCAGAAGACGGTCTCCTTGAGCTTCAGCGAGACCTATGTCTGGGCGCGGCTTCGTCGGTGGTTTGGGCAGCCTCGGAGTTTGAACTCCTCGCCGGCGCTGCATGGGCTCAGAGAGCTACCCTTTCGAATTCATGTGACATGGCCAAAGACAGAGAGAGAGAGAGAGAGAGGGAGCGAGCCTAATAGCGATGGCCTCCAACCTACTAGCGATGGCCAACCTAGGGAGGGGCAGAGAGAAGCAGAGCCACTATCTTTTTTAAACAGAAAAGGACGTTATACGGGTGTGTGGAAAACCAATGGCAGCGGACCATGAAGGACCTTCCCAGTGACGGTCCTTGACATCCCGGAAGGTCAGTTAGCTCTTGAGAAGGTTTTCCAAGAAATGGTCACTGGAAAGGCCCTGGATTAAAGATGTTGTAGAGGACGCTACTAGGAGCAAAGGGCATCGCTACTAGGAGCAAGAACGCTACTAGGAGCTTTTCCCTTCAGATGTTATGGATCAACATCATCGGATGCTACCAAGCCCGGCCACACCGGCACCAAGTTGAGTTTCATTGGGATCGTAGCGGAGTTCACTGCGGGTCTCCTGGGCTTGCTGGTGGGTGCGGGCTACATGCGTGGCTTGTGCCCAGCGCCCCTAGAGGGCATGGAGCGTATTCTGGGGCTTGTGACATGGAGCGTGCCATTACCATGCTAAAGTGGCAAGCCAAAGCCTTCCAAACTTGCGAAGTCGAAGTATGAAGTGTCAACCAATCAGCAGAAAATGACCAGCTGCGTATTCGTGGTGGCCCCGACCAAGACAGGTTTCTCTTGCATATCACACCTGGTCATCTTCATCAAACTGCTAAGGCTTAGCTAAGGGAAGTTCGACCCACTTATCAACCTCCCGGGACCACTGCGAGCGTTGCTTCGTTGGCTGGCTATGTCACGAAGTGACCAACAGCCCAATGCAGTTTTGATGTGCTCAAGGCACATCCTGGCTTATGGCTAGCCTGTTAATGCGTGAGAATGGCACCTCTCATAAACCGAACGACAGGGGCAACTGGAATTAAGAGATAACTGAGAAGCCGACTGGAAAGAAAGAAAGAAAGAAAGGTTTACAGTCTGGAAGGTTTACAGGTCCAATTGTTCTTTGGAACAAAAGAAAAAGGAAAGGAATCCGAAAGGAACAAGGATCGGAGTTCGAATGGCACCCAGAGTTCCTCTATGGTGTCCTCCAGTGGGTTCTCATATGTTCTCATCATTTGCAAGATAGTAGCGTCCTTGCTCCGTTCGTAGCGATGCCCTTTGTTCCGTTCGTAGCGTCCTCTTGCTCCTAGTAGTAAGGCCAGGAGCCCCGAACGTAGCGATGCCCTTGTTCCTCTAGTAGCCAGTGGCAAGGTATTTTCTGTTTCGAACCTTAGAGCAGCGATTCTCTTGTGGGGACTGCTTTGGTGATTCCGTGGCGCTTTGATGGGTGACGTTTGCGACTTTGTATTTAACTTCAAGGTCAGTGCACCTTGCTTAGAACCAATGAGGGGCCATTCTTTGTTGCCGGATCTCATTATGAAAGCTTGGCAGCGAATTACACTGCGAGAATCCAGTACTGAGTGCTGAGCAAAGCAGAAGCTGCAGTCTTTGTTTCGCAGAAAAGGCTCCAGCACAGCAGCCTTCCAAGGTGTTGCAACATGTGGAAAGGTTGCACTTACAGCCCTGATTCCTCACATTAGAGGTTGGAGCAAGGAGGCTACTAGGGGCTCCTGGCATCGCTACTGGGAGCAAGGTTCGCTACTAGGAACAAAGGGCATCGCTACGAACGGAGCAAGGACGCTATTAGGTGGCTCCTTTATGGCCTTGAAGAGTAACAAGAAGCTACTAGGAACAAGTGCATCGCTACTAGTAACAAGTGCCTTACTAGTAGTAACAAGAAGCTACTAGTAGCTCCTGGCCATACTACTAGGAGCAAGGACGCTACGAACGGGGCTCCTGCTGTGAGGTCGCCACAGATGCGTCTTGCTGTGGAAAGTTCTCTTGAACCCCACAGCTCATTGAGGGAGGATTTGCCTAGCACGCTTCTTTCAGGTCTGCTAAGGGTAGACACCCTCCATATTGCCATACATGGTTTTTGCTTCACTGTTGTTTTTGTTTGAAAAACGTAGTGTTTGCGTGTTTGCTTAAATCCCGTACACATGGGGTTCAGGTGGAATTGCCAAGTGACTTCCTTGTTTACGTATGATCATGCACTCAAGCGCAGCAATAAATTCAAACGTGTTTGAACAATGGTTTTGAAGGTATCACTACAAGACAAATCTTTATGGCATAGGAGTCATTAACGTGGTTGATGTCTACCATTTGCAGGATGTTTTTCTTATTCTGAAGGTTCGGTTTCAAGAAGAGAGCACGGTTGACGCTTTGCCAGCAAAGGAACCTTCGCAGAAATGGCTACGGCTCAGATCTGGCACCGCTGCCATGTTGAGCTGAGCCAATCTGGCACTGCCATTAGGTTGGAGGCCATCGCTAGTAGGTTGGAGGCCAAATCACCGTGCACAAGGCCATGGACAGCTCCCAAGCAACTCGCTTTGCATCTCAACCGGAGGACTGCCCTGTGCAACTCTTTGTGCAACTCATTTTTAGCAAGCTAAACTTAAAAAACAAATATTCTTTTGAGTTACTAATTAATAGGAATGGCCTCTAACCTACTAGCGATGGCCTTCAACCTAGAAGCAATAGCCTCCAACTGAAATAGCAAATTTAAATACTAAGTATATGTGTTGTGATTTTCCAATGTTGCCGACCGATCGAACCCGTTCGAACTTTGGACAACAACTCGCAGCCATGTGGAGGGTGGGACGCGGCGCTTGAGACCAACAGAAAACAGTGACAGGGACAGGGGTGGTAGGACAGGGTTCTTACTAGGTGGCTCGGTAGGTTATCCGGTGAAATCCACATTGGTAGCGGAGCCCCAGTAAACAAGGGGGCAAGGTCGCTAGTGTGTTTGGATAGGTTGAGTTTGGGGCTTTTCAACAAACATAGGTTTGTTGACATCTCACCTCGGGGTTTGAGAGAGCCACGCCATCCGAAGCAAGCGCATCGGCTGGACTGGCGTCAATGCCGGCTTCACAGCTGCCGTGGGCCCAGATCCCGCATTTCGTAGCAGGAGAAACGAACTTGGAGGATTTTGCGAAGAAGTTGGTTTTCCTTTCCTCCACTTGGCCGGAAGAGCACATCCAGCATTTGGGACCCAGGGTTGTCTTGCAGTGTGATGCCATTGCCTTCAAAAAGGTATCACAGATTCCCACCGAACGACTGAAGTCCAAAGAAGGGTGCAAGGCGATTTTAGATGCTTTGGGAGTGCAGTGGGGACGCTTCAAGACAGAAGATCGATATTTGAAATTTGAGCGGGCAATCTACTCCACCCAACAGAAGACAGATGAGAGTAACGACAGTTACATTGCTCGTCATGAAGCGTGCTTCGAGGACCTTCTCCAGAAGGACCATGAGGTCACCTTGAAGGAGATTCAATCGTATGTATTGATCAGGCACTCATCTCTTTCATCCGAAGAGAAAAAGCGCATCATCGTGGACAGCAATGGGATCCTCAAGTATGAGACCACCAGAGAAGCTATTAGGCTTTTGGGATCCCGATTCTTTCAGGATTTGCAAGGAGCATCCCGGGGAAAGCTGAAAACGTATGATGTTCATTCAGTGGAAGAAGACCATGACACCAGTTCAGACAACCACAATGCCAAGGGCGATGGTGTTTATGTGAATGAAGAGATTGATGAAGAAAGTGTCTTTGCTTCGCTCATGCAACAAGGCGATGAAGATGCTATCTTCGTGAGCGAGTTTGAAGACCAGATCATCGAAGCGGTTCAGGAGTCCGAGGAACTTTCAAGCTGCTTTACTGCATATCAAGAGGCAAGGTCCCGACTGCGTGAACGTGCCCGGCATAGGGGGTTTTGGCCAGTGAGGCCAGCTACGAAAGGAAAAGGGTTTGGGAAGAAGGGTTCATCCAAAGGAAACCAGGTTGCCGGACCGGGTCGTCGAACTCTCGCCGAGCGGATCGCGAATTCGACCTGTCGTTTGTGTGGCAAACCTGGCCATTGGAAGAGAGAATGCCCAGAACGAGCAGCTCGTGGAAATGAGATGGCGAGCATGGCAGAGGACTACCTGGCGGAACTGCCCGAGGAACTCACAGCGACTTTGCCGGATGAGCTCCACGAAGATCGTCGTACGACTTGTTTAATTCGGTTCGATCGTAGGACTCAAGAGAATCAGATGGATTGGAACCTCACGCATGATTGTACGACATGTTTTCCAAAGACCCATCTAGAGTTTGAAGAGGAGTGTTTCATGGTTTCGAGGGGAGAGAGGTTAAGGACTTGATGAAACATGCCCTGCAATCTGCTCGAAGGATGTCGTGGCCAGTTCGTGACGCTTCAGGGATGACACGCCAGGCCAAAGGCCATGAGCAGACCACCTTTCCACCCGTGGCCAGTTCTCCAGAGTTTGAAGCAGTTCATTTTGCAGAAGAGGAGGGCTCGGATGAATCCATTCTCGACACTGGGGCAAGTCGGACCATCATAGGGAGCAATCGGGTTGAGCCCTTATTGTTGAAATCCTTGAAAGGGGTCAGGATTAAGAGGGGGCCCTCCAAGTGTGTGTTTCGGTTTGGCAATTGTGGCTTGCTCCAGAGCACAGAAGCACTTTTTCTTGAAAGGAGTGGAAAAGGTTGGTTGCGTGTCGAGGTCGTGCCCGGCAATACCCCATTCCTCATCTCGAATGCTGTTGTCGAAGGAATGAGGGGAGTAGTTGACCCTCATCTTTGTGAACTTCGTTTTCATGGGAGTAGGGGTGTGATTAGGTTGAGGAAGGTTCGTAGGAGGTTGAACTGTGTTCGAATTAGGGATTTGTTGAAGGTTGTGTTTGAGGATGGGACAGGAGAAACCTGTCTCCATACACTCAACGTGCAGACAGTGAACAACACCGACGCAACCCAGACCCACCCGGAACATGGCATGCGTGACAGAATTCACAATGAATGCACCAGCAAACCAAAGCAAGCGCTGACCAGAGACCCCGTTAAAGCAGCTCGGATTTCGATGATGGAGACCAACAATTCGATTGAGAGACAGCCTTTGACTCAAGCTTGCAAGCCTTCCGATCCCCGTGAGAGCCACTCTCCAGATGGCGCTCAAGAAGATGGTCCCGCAGTTCCAATTGGAGGAACTCTCAGGGGAGGAGGACTTGTCATTGACAAGCAAGGCATCGGACGAGAAGTTGACCTACAGTCAGCCGAAAGGGATTCACAATCTCCTTCAGTGGGGACAAGAGACATTCGAGAGTGGCAAGCACAAGAAGAAGGCATTCAACGAGGTCTTCCAGAACGACCCGCAGTATGTCCAGTACATCCTCGCGAACACGAGGCTGGTAGCCAACGACATGCGGAGTTTTCAGAATTACTGCAAGGCCATGAAAAAGAAGATGTCCCAGCAGATGGTCACGCAGGGACCCATTCCAGTTCGAAAGAGTGCCACCTCAACAATGTCGAACAAGACGGATTCAGAGTGGGCGCCCATCGATGTCGAATCACCCATGCCGGGGACAAAGATGCTGGAGTCAACACCGGACAAGAAGCGCAGCCTGGCAGAACCACCGTCCACCTCATCGATGCTGGTAGAACCCAACTATCAACGTGCACAGGAGTTACGAACACAGATGGCAATTCTCCAGAGAGAGCTCGATCGTCAGGAGATTGTGAACGAGATGGCTCTCCACGAGGACTCGTGAGGGAAAATGACCGGACAATTCGGAGGGGCAAGTCGAAAGACAAAACCATGTCTGAGATTTGTCAGCAAATTGAGACAGTTGCACACCAGATAGAGGAGAATCTAAGTAAGTTACCATTGCGTGTTCCTCGAACTCAGACACAGCCTCAGGATTCAGATCTTAATCGGCCCGTTTTTCTTCTGGAGGTGTATTGTTTTGAGGGTTCCCAGTTGACATCTCAGATGAGTCGTTTTGGGGGTGCGACTCGTTTCACGAAACGAGATGGAGACCTGAGCACACCAGAAGGAATTGACAAATTAATGACCTGGGTCAAGCTCTATGAACCTACTCACATTTGGGCAGCTCCTGACTGTAAGGCGTGGGGTGGTTTTTCGAGGTTGAACATGAACCGAGACCTAGGAACAAGAGAAAGGATTTTGAGTGACCGAGAGAGAGAGAGGGTTCATTTGAGAGTGTGTACCATGTTGTTTTGGGAACAAGTTGCTCATGGAAGACATTTTCATCTAGAACAACCTGCAGGTTCCGATATGCTCAAACAAAATGATTTGAGAGAAATCTTGGAAGGCGCGCTGCAGGCATCGTTTGACCAATGCCAAGTTGGGAGATTGCGTCTGCCCAAGAAGGACTCCCAAGAAGGACTCGTTTTTGAGAAAGAGAACGCATGTGTTGACCACCTCGCGAGAAGTTCATCGAGTTCTTCATGGAAGATGGTGTGACAACACCCACAGACACCAGACCATTGAAGGGACACACAACCAACACGGCACCAGACAAAACATCTCAGCATTTGCAGCAGCATACACACCATGTTTGGCTAGGAATATTGTTAGGGCTTTGTTGAGGTCCATGGAGAGGCAGGAAGATCCTTTGTTGGTAGAGGAGTTGTTAGCTGGATTTGAAGAACACGAAGGGCATAAACGACCCGGGGAACCAAGGGAGGCAGCACTTGGTTCTCTTCAGCTGAAGCGCCGTCGTTGTGGATATAAACAACCCTGTCCCGAGGCATTTAAAGATGAAGAGACCTGGGAACAAATTTTGCAGGCGAGTAGGCAGTTGGGAGGTGACCCAAGGGGAACTTTTTGATAGAGTGGCCCGAAAGTTGAAGGACATGACACTTGGCCTCTTCATTGCCTGTCGGGGAACAGATCGCTATAGGATTCCCAAGAACACGCTGGATACACATGACTTGCCGCTGAGGAAGACGGTATATGTTCATCGAACTAGTGGAGAGGTTGTTGATGCAGGACAGCCCCAAGAATGGCTAAAGATGTCCAAGTTGAAGCGGGTTGGATCACGTGGACCAGCAAGATTGTCATTGACAATGTTTGGGAGTCCAAAAGATGCGGTTGATGAAGTCTCCACAAGAGAAGAAACACCTCAGTTGGAGGCAAAACATGACAGGTCTGAACTCGACCACAATGCTGGTTGGGCTCCAAGGCCAATCGCAGTTTCGGGGCCAGCATTCACCCGTTTAAAGGGTGAAGACCAGGGAGAGATCCGGAGATTACATCACAACCTTGGTCATCCCACTCCCGAACTGTTTGAAAAGTTCATGAAGGAGCGGGGCGCCTCACGAGAGATCCTTGAGGGCATTGCGGATTTTCAGTGTCCCACATGTGCTGAACATAGGAAGGGCCCCTTGAACAGTAGACCTGGAAGAATACATCAGGACTTGGATTTTAATATGAGGTAGGTGGAGATGGGGCTTATTGGAAGAATGCAAAGGGGAAGGTGTTTCATTTCACGAGACATTGTACCACACCGGTGCTCCAGGGGGTAGAAGTGTAGATGAACAGATTCGTCTTTTTGAAGATTGCTGGCTGCAATGGGCTGGTCCGTGCAAGTTGCTCTATTTGGATCCTGCTGGAGAGTATGTCAATGATGCATGGGCGACATTCCTTCAGAAGGAGAACATCAAGGTCTCTATGTCGGCAGGCGAAAGTCATTGGCAACTCGGCAGGTGTGAGAGACATGGGGCGATAGTTAAGAATATGCTGACTCGGATGGACACCGAAACCCCGATCGATACAGAGGATGAGTTTCGTAGGTGTTTGAGACAAGTGTTCAACGCAAAGAACTCGTTGAGTAGGTTTGGAGGATTTACACCTGAACAGGCCTTATTGGGGAAATCACGGTCCATTCCGGGTTCGTTGATGTCGGATGAAGAAGCTGGAAGCCATGCAATCGCCGATTGTGACTCCACGGAAGGTCAGCAGTTTCGAAGGAGTCTTTTAAGACGAGAGCAGGCCCGTAAGAGCTTCATCACCGCTGACAACGATAGCAGTTTTAGGCGTGCCCTTTTGAGACGGAGTCGACCCGATCGAATGATCTTTGAAAAGGGGGACTGGGTTCTGTATTGGAGAAAGCAGAAAGGTGGAGGTAGGAATGAGAGAGGTCGATGGGATGGTTTGTCACAGGTAGTAGCTGTTGAAAATGAAAAGATCATTTGGGTCAGTCATTGTGGCCGCCTGGTTCGTGCAAGTCCCGAACAACTGAGACCGGCTTCGTTGCGGGAATACATGTCGCTTCCTCGGGGATCCGATGGAGGGGTGATAGATGATGTGCCTAGGGAGGGGAATGGTCCTCGGTATTTTGTAGATTTGGATGATGTTCCACCTGAAGTAGGCATAGGGGTTGGAAGTCAACCAGAGAGTGAGATGTCACATCCAGCTACACCACAGGGATCGGAATACACCCCAACGGAACCCATGGAAGTTGAAGCTCCAGCGATTCCCGAAGACCCTATGGATGAAGCAATGGACGCATCCGAAGTTCCAGTTCCTGTTGAACCAGATGATGAGCTTTTTGTGTTTGGCGATGAGCATTCATTTCCAAGCACAGTGTGTCCATGTTATGAGATTACCTTCCATGCCGGACCAACAATGACCTTTGATGCCAGACTTGGTGCAGATGTGTGTTTTGCATATGATACTTTTGTGATATCCAATTCTCGCAAAGAAAAGGTTGAGGTCCGATGGAATGATTTGAATGAAGCTGACCGGGCAAAATTCAGTCAGGCCAAAGAGAAAGAAATAAAGGCCTGGTTGAATCATGACACGGTAAAGCGGGTCACTCAAGGAACAGTGCAACCAGAAGAGATCATGCGCTGCCGATGGATTTTAACCTGGAAACCACCAGAACAACCGCGGGGGGAGCGTCGTGCAAAAGCGAGGTTGGTCGTTTTGGGTTATACTGATCCAGACTTGTCAACAGTTTCCAACGATGCCCCTACCTTGTCAAAAGATGGGCGCATGGTCTTGTTGCAACATGTTTCGGCAAGAGGTTGGTCATTGATCAATTTTGATGTCTCCACTGCCTTCTTGAAAGGAGAGGGTGATGGTAGACGGCTTGGCTTAGAGGTGCCTCCAGAACTATCCAAGGCTCTTGAAATGAGGCCGGGAGATCAATGCTTGTTGAAAGGAGGGGCATATGGTCGAGTGGACGGTCCCTACTTATGGTATAAGTCATTCAGGAAGTGCCTGGAATTTGATAGTTGCTTGTTTAGTTTAGTTACTATGGGGGAGAATGGAAAACCACAGGTGAGGGGAATGATAGGGATCCATGTAGATGATGGACTGGGGGGTGGGGACCAATACTTTCACTCGATCCTCGAACAGTTACAAGCCAAGTACAGTTTTGGTGCATATCATGAAAAGAGTTTTGTGTTCTGCGGCGTCCGATACTTTCAATGGCCTGATGGGTCGATTGAAGTTGAACAGAGAGAGTATGTAGAAAGGATTGAACCCATCACGATCCCAAAATCGAGACGCTCGGAACCCCATGCAGATGTGACTGAACAAGAAAGGCAAGAACTTCGAAGACTGGTGGGTGCATTACAGTATGCAGCAGTGAACACGAGACCAGACATAGCTGCAAAGGTAGGGGAAATTCAATCAAAGGTGACACGTGCCAAGGTAGAGGACTTGTTGGTAGTGAACAGGGTGTTGCATGAGGCTAAGACTCACCATGTTTGTCTTCACATCTTGCCCATACCGCTGCGTGATATTACGTTCTGCGCATTTTCCGACGCATCATTTGCAACCAACAAAGAAGTCTCTTCTCGGCAGGGTTGCTTGATTTTTGCAACAGGAGCAGCGCTTTTGAACAACGAAGTGGGCATTGTCTGCCCGATCGCATGGAGTTCGCGAAAAATACCAAGGGTTGTTAGGTCTACCCTTAGTGCAGAGGCCATTGCTCTCAGTGGGGCTCTAGATCGTCTTTCGTGGATACGCCTACTATGGGAGTGGACAAAGGATCCTAGTATAAATATCGCAGCTCCAGAGCAGATCTTGGCAGCAGCTCCAATTTCAGTAGTTGCTACAGACTGTAAATCAGTCTATGATACTACCACCAGGACTTCAACTCCCAGCTGTGAGGAATATAGAACGACCCTCGAGTGCATCTTGATCAGGGAACGTCTTCAAGAAAACTGCAAGATGAGGTGGGTGCATAGTCAGGCTCAACTTGCTGATACTTTGACTAAGAGCATGGACGGTCGGATGCTTCGAGAGTGTTTGGCTATTGGTCGATATAGCCTTTACGACGAGACAGCCCGGTTGAAGGAACGTGCAGATCGGAGGGATCGGTTGGCATGGATAAAGAAAAACTTGGAAAGTTGAAAATTACAAGAATTTTGACCAGTGTGATTTTCCAATGTTGCCGACCGATCGAACCCGTTCGAACTTTGGACAACAACTCGCAGCCATGTGGAGGGTGGGACGCGGCGCTTGAGACCAACAGAAAACAGTGACAGGGACAGGGGTGGTAGGACAGGGTTCTCACTAGGTGGCTCGGTAGGTTATCCGGTGAAATCCACAATGTGTATTGCATGTATGATGTCCAATCTGCTACTAGGAGCAAGGACGCTACTAGGGGCTCCTGGCCGTACTACTAGGAACAAGAAGCTATTAGAAACAAGAAGCTATTAGAATTTCAGCTGCAGGGCTATGGTGTCTTGCTGATTTCTGCACTTTTGCCGGTGGACACACTGCAAGCAGTGTCGCGAGTGGCCGGTGTTCCCAGAAAAGAGAAAGAGGGAGGTTCCGTTTGGAGGTTGGAGAGGCCATTCCTATTAGGTTGGAGGTTCCATTTGGTTTCGTTTGTGACTAGACGACTCAAAGACTGAGGTCAAGAGCAAGCAAAGTGCAGCAGTTGTTCTAGCATTCGATGGGACTCTCCTGCAGGGTGAGGAGCGGGCAAACGTATTGTATGTTTGTCAAGAAAAGAGAGAAAAGAGGGCTTTACAACGTGAAAGAGAGCCAGAATGTTTAAGACGAACGCGAAATGGCGTGAGGACTTGGAAGCACGAAAAGAGTTCCTGGAAGAGCGCCTTGCATCTGATATCTGTTCATATGGAATTTTCAGAGCGCATTGAAGCATAAGTAGACATGATAGGCATACTGCGAGTTGCGAGCATTTGCACCAGGTGCAACTATGTATTTCCATACAACCCCAGCTACACAGTCCTCCTGGCTGGTTTTTGCTGGCAGCTTGCCCGATGGCATGCCGTCCATTTGATACAACTAATTTTCGTGTTTGGCCAGGGCCTGGCTGCAATCCTGGCACGCTTCGACGTCACACATGTGGACAAGGGCTTGGCCTGTGTACCATTTACCAGTCACAAGAAGGAGCCGCATCCCAAAGCCTGAGTCATACGAATCACGCTTTCGTCTACGAATCGCGATCAAGACAGATCAGCCGCTGCGGTGAGTCACTGCTGACTCATCGCTTCTAGGTTGGAGGCCCTTGCTACTAGGAACAAGGACGCTACTAGGGGCTCCTGGCATCGTTACTAGGATGCTACTAGGAGCAAGGATGCTAGGTTGCAAAAGGGTTCTCCAAAGAAGCGGCCTCGTTGAGGGTCAACGTTCTCCGTGAGGACTTCCTGGAAGATGTTCTCTGCGTTTTGGAGAAGAGAGGTCCGAATGGCCAGAAAATGCTTTCTAGTAGCAAGGCACCTTACTAGAAGCAAGGATGCTAGTAGCTCCTGGCCATACTACTAGTTGCAAGAAGCTACTAGTAACAAGTGCATCGCTAGTAGTAACAAGTGCCTTACTAGTA